AAGTTCGTAACGAAATTTCAACATAGTGATAAACATGTACCTGGCTCGCTCCTTTGCTAGTAATACACAATCTATCTGACATCGCAGATGCCGACGACACTGCCCAGCAGGAACCTGAGGGATTGAGACATCGGCTTGATTTCGTCCGGTTCTGCTTACCTATCTGGACCACTTAAGAGTTACTTACCGCAGTTGGCTTGGTCCCGGATGTGAAAAAGTGTCGAGCAGTTGGACCACTGAACACGAGCGTCGAAGCTGAAAGCGCAGGGTTTCAGAGTTGTTGTGAGCTTATTTTATAATTAATTTCTGAGAGTGACTTGTGTGTAAAACGTTGTTTAATATGAGTTTTTTTTCAATTTGATGTTTCAATTTATAACTTTTTATTTGATTTCTGCTGAGTCATCATACGAGTACGTGTTGCTTCCGGCTTTAATCCATTTTGGGCTCAGTAGAGGTACTTGAGCCAGAGCGTGAAAGAATGGTCTTTTCTTTTCTCACTTTGAACTCGAAGAAGGCGACTATGGTGGGCATGATTCGGTTAAGCTACTGCGTTGTGCCCTCTCCAAGCCTACGTGGACATAATTAGAATTTGCTTGTGGCATGAGGTCCAAAAAGATATGCACGAACTTTTGAGACCAACTATATTTACCCGAACCTCCATTCAGAGCTCCATGGAAACTTGGAAGCGTTCTCTGGTTAGAATTTGCAACCACCAACCTTTCAGGTATGTCATCGCCGTTGTCATCCTTGTCGTCTACTACGGGATTCTTCTCCTTATTAACGTATTTCAGGTCCATCAATTTATGCTTGAAGCCAGGTACCGGTGTCGAAGAGACCTGTTACCGAACATTCTCTGAGCGGATGATTAACATGGATTTCCGTGAGCCGTGACTTACCTTCAAAAAGATTCTGGTGCTTTCGTAGATATTCGGCAATCTCCGCATCGCTCAGCTTCTTCGATGCAGCTATAAGAAAGTTATAATAAAGGATTATTTTCTAATTTTTTGTGAAAAAAAGTTAAGACGTGTGCAAACCAACCCGGGACATCTGCCTCGATAGCTCCATGGCATAGGTAGACGCAGAGTACAAAGACAAAGTACTTCTGAAGTATTAACATTTTGAGCATAACTCGTATTATAGAAGGGGGTCTATTCAGTGAGGGGGTGCGCCTACAGAAACTCCAATTTTTGCAAAGGAAGGAAATTTCTGGGATGTGTAGACCATTTACCTACTTTTTACACCCACTCCGGAGCCTCTTTCCCCAGAAGAACTTGCATCACCTAAGGCAAAATATGTCCCCCACTTCCCAATTACTGGACAAGACCCTATAGACGGTTTTCCATAAGAAGGAGGACAAGCGGCAACTCACCATTGCTCCCAGCGCTAATGGCCCGTCTGTTTATCATAGTCACAAAAGCCTTCTTTGAAAGGATTAGGAACTTTTGAGAGACCTGATAAGAGGAGAATAAGAAATTCGAAGGAAAGCCACCGCTGTCTAAATAGTTTTCAGAAAAAAAAAAGGTGGTACGCAGGGTCAACCATCCGTTCCTACGAAGAGTGGACGCGTATTTGAATTTTGGGAGAGGGAGTCGTTTGTTGGGTTATCCTGAAATCCAAACAAAGCGGTATTTGGAGGCCCCCCCCCCATCTCGCTGGCTGGATGTTGGTGGGCCATATTCTCATCATCCTTTACCAGAAAGTAAAAAACTCGTGATTAAGTCATTCTCGGCCGAAAGAATGAGGAAATGCCAGTTAGTTTCGTTTCGCAGAGTGGCACTTGCTTTCTAATGTTCGTTCCAAATCGGTTGGTGTTAATATACGATATTGCTCATATACACAAAGGCTCCCGGTGTCAGTCGTTAGACAACATCCAAGGAAGGATCAAAGGTTACCACGGCTTTCAAGAAGAGATGTATACCTTCAGATGTGCCTCCATCAAAAGCTGATCTCAAGTACACCTTCCAAACCTGCTAAGCGTTTTCTGAACAGCGCTATGTACAGCGCTCCCGTAGTGGTCGAGACTCACGGTCAAAACGTCGTAGGATCGGCCTTCATATGTGTTGTTTCGATTTCTTCAGCGATTCGGCTAATTAGGCATTTCAAAGCCGTTTCAGGTGTTTTCATCCGAAAGCAAGACAGAAAACACGACAGGGGGTCGTCCCTCTCATATCTTGACTGTGAGTCCCGACCACTACCTTTCGCGCTGTTTTGCTTTATAACTCTGTTCAAGAAATCGCTTGGCAGATATGGAAGGTGATTTGAGATCAGCGTTTGAAGACAGCATCTAGGCTTATGTATCGCTTCTTGAACAGGCTGGGATCCTTCAATTGTTAGTGTTTTTATCCCCCGGTACCAGCGGTTGCAATCCAGCCACCCCGGAAGATAAAAGGCTTTTGAGCGATGCAGTTCCTTATCCAAAGCTCGACTCCGCTCCCCTGCGTGATGCCTACAACACCAGTTGCAACTGAGACTCACCTCCTAACATCGCAATCATCACATGACACACAATATCACAGCATTTCCAATAATCCTCCTTATCTAATCTTGTTCAATTTACGTGAGATTTTTTGGAGGAGTTGCATTGCTGACAAGTGGCGGTATAGAATTTAATCTGAAAGAGGCTCTGTTTGTCACGATTGCTCATGAGATGGTCTTTGTGATATTAACGAAACCAGAAAAAAAAAAAATTAACAAAATCAGAACCAAGTGGTTTGTTCGTCTCACACACATGACAAAGTGGTGACCGTTGCAAAGAAGTTAGTGAGGAAAACAACTACTAAACCTCCTCGGACTAAAAAAAAGGACCATTTGATAAGTTTTTTGGAGTGGTTTGAAGGCAAGTGATACGAAGATCGAATGAAAGTAGAGCTGCGACGAGGTACAGCAGTGAAAATGAATAAGATTAGTGGCCAAGAACCCGCAGACAGGGATCCTTGTTTTTCCACATTAGGGCGATGTCAGACTTTGCGAATCGAGCGATTCGCTAGCGTCCGCGGTCGCGCGTCGCGGCCAGCGAATCGCTCGATTGGCTAGCAATGCGGACGCTAGAGAATCGCTAGTAGCGTACTCTCGATTCGCAAAGTGTGCCATCGGCATTAATGTGCCCAATTGGGCCAGTTCTAAGGTGGCTATATCATCAAGTGGCTAAACTGCTTATTAGTAGTTTCGCCTCTCCTATCGGTCCAGTAAGATTTTTGGAGTGATTTGAAGGCAGGTGATATGGGAGATGGTATGGAAGTATGTAGGTGGTGGTTCAATGCTGCCACGATGTAAGATGACAGACAAGATACGGCACATTTAGAGTTTATAGGGTGGCCAAAAAAAAGAGACACTTGACTCCACATTTCAGACAGCATTAATCACACTTTGCTAAAATCAAATCGACTGCCCCCAACAGTATTGGAGAGCACCTTCTATCTATCTAAACCTTACATGATAGCCTTCTACACCGACGACATCAGAAGATTTTTCACACGGAAACATGGTTCGCAGTATGAGCTCAACGGGGTCGACGGTACCATAGACCATTACGACGTCCTGAAAATGCTGGTCAAAAGTGGTTTTGCACAGTCACAGCTAATGTCTCTAGGAAGCTATTCAACAGTTAATCCATTGAAGAAATTATGAAGCAGCTTCAGGCCGGAGCGATTACGGTAAGCCTCGTTGAGCTCGACGGTGGCGGCAGATGACGTCATATTCTAAAGACGGCGGGGACAGTGAAGGAGGGCCTGCTTCTGTTTACGGGGGAACACCTTAGGAATATTTCACCGTAAAACTTTCATTAACACCGGCACCCTGTGCGACGAAAAGTTCGATGATGTGCGCCATGGGCAAAGTGTCTCTTTTTTTTTGGCCACCCCTGTATAGACGAGACGACAGTAAAGGGGAGTAAGGCCTAAGTGATAGCGCATACCGCTTATATGCGCGTTGGTAGTTCTTCTACAAGATGAAAGCGATAAGCGTTGAAAGAGCATTATTGGAATGAAACAAAACAAAGCTCTTGCCAGATGAACGAAATCCCTAAACAACTACTCCACAATTCTCTACGAAGACTCTAAGTGGATGAAAGAAGTCGAGGAATAATCGCGACACTGAGGTAATCAGTTGTGGCTTGAAGTCAAGGATCAGGATTGAATTGATATGGAAAGCTCAGTCAAATATGAAAATAGGGATGGGAGATGGACTGCAAGTGGAGAAAAAAGGAGGTGAAATAGTGGAAAAAATAGGAAATACAAGTCTTCTTGCTCTACTACTCCTTCTCTTCTACTTCTCCAAGAACTCGCTCCTACATTAAATCTCATTTGGAAGCGTTCTTCGTTCTATTGAGTGTTTTTATCAATTTCGGCTTGCAGCCATTGTCCGCACATTTCGTTCGAAACCACCCGCTGAATTAGTATGCAGTGATGGTTTAAAAAATCGCTCAGCGGTGGCAACAGCATCGGCGGTAATGGGGTGAGACTATTGGTACCTGGACGACTGCAATAATTAATTTTGGGGGGACCACATCACTCTATCCACGAGAGCGACCACTTCAGCTCCCGAGGATAGAGGCTGACGGTGAGCCCGGACCTTGCTTATAAGTATGCGAGAATGTGCTCGTTTCAGCTCCCCCTTAAATATTGTAGTGGATGAGGAGCGGCTTCTCCCAGAATTTCCTTACATCGTGACATGGTATGAGTTGCCAAAAGGGTCACTTTGCCCATGGCGCGCCTCATCAAACTTTTCTACGCACAGGATGCAACTGTTAATGAAAGTTTCCCGGCGTAATATTCCTTAGAAGTTCCCATAAGCAGAAGCAGGCCCTCCTTCACTGCCTCACCGTCTTCAGAATATGACGTCATCTGCCATCACCGTCGAGCTCAACGAGGCCTACCGTAATCGCTCCGGCCTGAAGCTGCTACATAATTTCTTCAGTCGATTGGTTTCCAGAGAGAGTAGCTCTGACTATGCAAAACCATTTCCAGCAAGCGTTTCGAACAAGGGTCGTAGTGGTCTACGATACGCCGAAGACCTTCTGAGATCGAAACTCTCCTTGGTTCGAACTGTGCCCGTGTCTAGTGAAAAAGTTTCGACGCCGTCGATGTAAGGCAGCTATTATAAAGTCCCGTCAGGATGGAGTGCCTCAACACTCGATGGGTGGCATTCAGCTTGAATTAGCAAAATGTAATCTTCGTTTAAGATAAGGGTCGTGGCTTTAAGAGCGCTTATGTGTTCCCACCCCTTACACATGTACCAATCACTTATTTATTTTATTTTGTTAATGCTGTTTTTTGACTCTCTTATTATTGTATTTTCCCAGCGACCATGTCCAAATCCACAGTCGTTGATTCCGGAAATCATATGGAAGTAACGTGCAATACAATCCATTACGGGGTCTCGATAAGCCGCACATCAAGAGTACAGTACAGACGTATTGAGATTCACTGTCGGACCGCATTGCCATGCACAAGGCACGCACTGAAGAACGTATCTTTGCTTTCTTTATCAATCATCTTGAGACTAAGTTCAGTACGCCTTAATTGGAAACCGCTTGACAAACCTGCGAGCGCTGCAGCATACGGTTGGCCCAACAACTTTGGGGCTAACCTTATGACATTTGCGGCGACTCGCCAATTTTTCGGCCCTGTCGTTTGCCACGAGTTCAACGTGCCAATAAAATGCTCCCATTTCTGTCTCTCGCCCTTTCACACAGTCAAGCATAATAGAAAGTAGTACGAGACCTGGGCTCGACCAAGCACCACATCATGTTTTAAATCAAGGAATGCTCAGCGTTCAATAACGAGATGGTAGGTACTACTCTCAGAGTGAAGCGTTGACTATGGGTCAGGGTTTGGCCCCAGTCAGAACTTGCAATTTGTTTTATCAGGAGAATTGAAGAATCATTACGGAACGTTCCAGTGATGTGCTGTAAATCCTGAAAGAGTGAGTGTTTTTGACTAATGAACCAACAGTCGCAGTAAATCAAGCTCACAACAAAAGTTCCACGCAATGGGATTGCCTTCCCTACTAGACATTAGTAATGTTTCGCGGCCATTCAGTAGGAAATTAAGTACAGGAAAGCAGGCTGCATGTACGTCTTGATTCATGCCGAATCTGCACATC